TATAGCAGCTAGCACCATTCGAGCGGAAGTGTTACAGATGCATTGTACCCAGCGGTGTACCAAATATAATACATATGCATGCATATGTGTGTGCGCAGGTGCAAAAGTAAAAACATTAAGTAGAAAATAAAACAAGAGAATTATGACGAGAGTAATAAAAATTGTACTTGTACTGCAGTCGTAAACAACATTGGTTTTATGGATGAATGGATGAACTAATCAAATATGTGCGCACACATGTACTCACATGCAATCGTTGTGTTACATACAAGTATGTATGTATGTATATGTGTACAAAAGATATTGATTGTTTGCTATTGAGCTGGTGTTTTTTGTTTGTTTTGCAGAACAAATCATGCACTTGTGTACCGGTGAAGTGACTAACAGGTAAATGCATGATTTGCTTCAATTATTTTATGTACGTAAGTATGTATGTATGTATGGTACATATTTGTCTGCAAGCGCTTATGGAAACTTGCTATAAACAACGGTGTAATCTGGTGAAAGCTTTAACTGCACATATACAAGTATGTGCAAGTCTGGACGAACGATGTAAAACAATAAATAGCAAAACAACAAGCAGAAGTGGCAATATTTGTTTTGTATGGTGTTGTGTTAAACAAAAAAAAAGAAAAGAAATGAGGTTCTGTTTATGGTATACAAGTACATTAGTGAAATATACTTTTTTTACGTTAAAAAACATTAAAGTTTTTCCATTGGCATAACTTTTCAATAAAATTAATGACAGAATTCATAAAAAAAAACAAGCTATAATACTTTTCAGAGGTGCATTTTTTATAGTAAAAAACTGTGTTGGTTATTGTGCTATAACGAAAGCGCGAGGCGCACGCGGTGGCTGCCAGCAGGAGAAGAGAGTTTTTCATGTGTTGTATAGTCTTTTATAACAACAGGAGGCGTCCTCGAGCCTAACTGTTGACTATGTATTCGCTGTTCTGTTTTGTGTCGTATTCGTTTCAGCGTTCCTTGTAAGCCAGGAGTAGCTGACTTGCTGACATGGTGTTGCCATGTTATATTGTCGCATAAGTGAAATATATTATATTATATTGTGGCTCGTCCCACAAAACCCTTGCATAATAATCTGTATCAAATTTCGTGAAGATATCTTTTAAATAAAATTATTTTTCATACAACAACAATTTTTTCAAAGATGCTAGCATTGCCTTGAATAATAACCTATGTCAAATTTCGTAAAGAGACCTTGTCAAATAAAATATGTTTTTCATACAAGGACATGATCATTTAGCTTGTATGCCAGCTATATCCTATGATGGTTTGAAATAAGTGGTTTAGACATATTATCAGCTCCTTTAGGAGGAAAGGACGTTTGCAAAATTTCAATTCGATATCTCAAAAACTGCTTCGCCTATATACAGACGGATATGGCTTAATCGACTCAGCTCTTCACACCGATCATTTACTATATATTTGTATTTAATAGGGTCACCGACATTGCGTTCTAAGTATTACAAACTTCATGGCAAACAAGGTATATGTTTGGGGTATAAAAATAAGGTTAGATCATAGTGAACAGTGACAAAGCGGTTACTGAGTCGTCAACATGGTGTAAGGAGAGGCGAGCAAAGAGAGTGTAAGCTAAAATAGTATTCTGAGAGACCGTCTATTCCAATACTTTCCCAAGACTGTGATTGTTCTCGTACCTTGACATCGCTTCTTAAACTCAAAAATATTTGGAGAATGTTTAATGCCATTGCAACAATAAACATAACAGCAACTATCTGCTTCTTCATTCTAGTATTAGTAATTAGAATTGAACTGAGACAACTTATAGATTCTCAATTTTAATTTACCGGCTAAAAATACTTCGCAATGAAAGTAAATATTTATGCGCCTAAACTAAAGAGGGAAACAAAATCTTTTGTTTTCCTAACTGAGCGCTATGCAGACAGTTGCTTGAATAAAAAAAAAGTATTTAAAAAAGTATTAACATACGAGTACAATTTATGTTTTAATATGTCCTGAAAGTTAGCGGAATATCAACATTTTCCGAAAAACGTTACTCTTTTAAGATATTTGTTGTAACATAAAATTTAACTTAAATTCTCTTTTTGGAAAATTCTAAATATTTGCGCTTTCCATAATTTAGCCTTCTATCAATTATCAAATTCAGTTCCGTTGTATTTCTGCATCAAGCTAGCTTTCATTGTAATTAATATTCAATTCTGTTGAATTTCAGTGATTCCTTGTTTTTTGCACGACTTTTTATTTATAAATATAAAATTATTCAATTTGATTTAATTTTAAAATCTTGTGTTTTACTTCTTCCTGCATTCATGCGCTGTCAGCAGTTTTTAGTTGAGCACACATGTGTACGTGTTGTTTAGTATTGACATGCGACAAGTTGCGTAACACGGTAAAAGCACTTTCAAATACAACAACAAACAACAAAAAAAACTCACCTGAACATGTTTTTAACAGCTAGAACAATGAGAAAATACACTATGCACACATGTCTTTTCTTACTTCATACCAACTATTGCAGAGCTGCGCTTAAGTGTAGATTGTACCATGACAGGTTCGTTCATAAAAATGTTACTCATACGCACTAACACACCAAAGGAAATGACATGGTTTTATGCAGTACTACATAGTATACAGATACATTCATATAACTTTATACACACTAATGCATTTATGTGCGTATTTATGCTGTATATACGTATATACTGCGCATATGTACATAGTTATGTAAATATGTATGCGCTTGTGAGACTCATGTAGGTGTTTGAGTACAAAAAAAATAAACAAAATCAAACAATGAAGATGATTCCACACTGCCGAAGGTGCTGTGGAAGGAAGTAAAGCTTTGCATTACTACATGAATCAAGCTATCTTATTTATTCAGCTATTTATGGAGCAAATCAAACGGGAAATGCAAAGCGCAAATGGCGTAGCGCAAAACTGCAAATCAAGTTGAATTACAAAAATAAATGGGGACTATACAGGGATATAACTGTTAAGGCATTTATTTTGGGGCATGAAAAGTGTTTTTGTTTGACTAACAAAATCTTCAAGTCTATAGGAGCAAATAAATTTTTTTGTTGTTTTTAAATTATTATTTTTGGTGGTCATGACTCTGTTTTTCGAATTTTTATTTATCAGGAAATAAGTGTGTCTGTAATTTAACTGAAATTAACTTAGTATAATGGTTAAGGAGATTTTTAGCTCTCAGTTCTTTGAAAAACATAGTATTTGTGAAGATGTGACAAAACATCAAATGTTCGAATCTCACTTGATGAAAAGTTAAATTAAGGAAAAACGGCAATTTTTAATATTATGTGTTATAAATTTCTTTTACCAAAGAAACAAATATTACTTAAGAGAAGTACGAAACTAAATTTAAAGTACTTTCATGGCACTCCATGATGAGATAGAATGAGATGCCACCACATCATATTTACGTATTAGCCATGGACCAGCAACTAGTTATGACAAACAACAATTATACCAAAAATGAAACGATCGTTTAAAATACATCATGTGACTAAAGATCATATGACCAAAAAGCACATGATAATTGTATATATTATGTATTGCACTTATCATAAGACAGCTATTTGTATAAACAGATTTCGGAACATCATTTCATTTTGATCAACACTTGATATGGTTATGCAATATTTTACTACAATGTACAAAGATCGTGGGATTTAAGATCTTGTGATTAAAAATGATAAAACTAGTTATAATTATTATTAACTGTTACTGAAAAACGTGTCATGTTATGCCAATACATACGTAGGTCAACAAATGATGAAATCAATTTCACTTAACACCATCACATGATCACACTATACATCACATCACTATATATGTACACACACATACGTTAGACTAATTGGCAATTTACAAAAACAACAAATAAAAAAAAAACAAGAATCGAAAAATTGCATGGCTAATATAGTAAATATGACAAAATATCACGCGATTTATATCATGTAATTGTCATAATATACCGACATCATATGATTTCATAGCATATGTCTTAAATTTGTATCAAAATGAAACACAAATTTTAATATTTGGTACATATTTTCAGTTTTTCCGTTTACTCTGATTTCCTATTGGCTTTCATGCTTTCGCAATCTGAGACACCCTGCTAAGCCATGGATAGACAACACAGCGCTGACACATGTCAAATTACAAACATGACCCTGTCAACGTAACAATGATTGCTTGGGCTGAATGACTGCTGAGACTGCTTGTGGTGCACCGCCTAGCACTTGCTCTCAGTGAACGCACTCAAGCAACAACTTACTTACTGCGCCCACAAAAGTATGCTACTATTTAAACTTTGTGCTCAGCACTACAAACATATGTACTTATCTACCAACATATACACATATACCATAAGAGTATATACACCACTCAGTACTTGGGTTAGGCACTTCACCAACAAAAGCAACAACAACCATATGCCATTTATATCCTTATACGTGGATTTGTTTGCTGGTTTTAGCTTTTGATTCGCATTTCTATTTGCCACAGCTTACAATGTTTCATGGTTGCTGGTTTTCTACAATCAACTCTGTCACATATTGTTTTTATGCATTTGATATTGTTGTTGCTGCGACTTTTTTTCTAACTGCTCCTGTCATTATTACATACTCTTTGGCTTACTTTGTTCACATTTGCAAGCAAGCCAGCTGTTTGTTTTCGCTGTTTTTGTTTTCCCGCTGTGCAATTGTGCGTCAAATCCCACTGTACACACGCGCTCACACACATATTTACATGAGCTTTTGCATTTATTTTTTTACCAATAATATTTTTTATTTAGATTTTATGTGACAATAAAAAGAATTCACCGTTGTCAAGCCTTTGCTGGTCCAGAGGTATGGTACATACTATTGTTGGATTAATGTAAGTATAACAAATGTTAGGGGAGGGGCAATTGATAAATTGAAAACAAAATGAACAAAAGGAAACATTAAATTAAGAGATTACGTTTTTGTACCACTTACCTTTGCCAAGCGTTCCGTTGCGAAGTTACCAGCTATTCCCCTGAGAGTATCTGAAATTGAAAAAGACAGAAGATAAGAGAGAGATGATTTAAAATTTAAATTATTACAAACAGTAGGGAGTGAATTATTCTAGCTTGAACAAGTTTTAAAATTGAAGTTTCTAACGAAAAATCGTTATATTCTAAATTGTTTCAAGTTCCATTGACTTAGTGCGAAAAAAATCTTTGATCGTAGGAATTTTATAAAAAATCGGTTCTGTATATTCTTAAATTTAGCTTTCAGCTCCACTAAGCCTTAGTTGTAGCTAAAATATTTAACATTTTGAGTGCATGAATTTTGATTTACTGAATCTGCTACCAAAGTGAGGTTAGCAATGGTCTAGACTCTCACTAGTTATTAAAAATGATTGATCGATTTGAATGAATTAAAATGGATTCGTAAGCAAAATAACGCTTAAAAATTAAAATTTGGATTAATACGTTGTATCAAATTTTGGTTCCGAACAGAAACCAACCCGAAGAAGATGTTCCTAAGTACAGAATTCGGGACTTTGAAATCTTGTGTGTCGGGAAAATCACATGAAAACTCAGAAATTTGCTAAAGCGACGAATTCTAATACCAGGTGGCTGGATCGTTGCAAACAACGGTGTCTCCCTAAAACAGGCCAGCCAAGGAAGATGTGTAAAGGATATTCTGATCATCCTTGAAATTTCGATACGTAAAATTTATGTACTTATCAGAACTTCTATCTACTCCGACAGAAGGAGTTAGCAGACCTTTAAAGTTTCTCATTGATCTGGTGAGACCTAACTGTACAAGAAAAGATCGTAACGGTATAAGAAAATGCACACCCGCTGCCAATGCGGTAATAATTGTACGAGGCTGACATTTCTGACAAATTCGATATGATCCAGCAGCCATATGACAACAATTCTACTAAATCTGCATAAAAACACTGAATTGGTCTAAAACTCAGCAACACTACTTATCCGTTTGTGACTTTTGTAGATATGATCTCAAAAAACAAAAAAAGGATTCTTAGAGATTAGAGGTTAAGGATTCGTGAGGAAAATCCCAACCAGCTCCTCCATAGATTTGTGTTTTCTAGTCAGATATGTCATTTTTTAATATTTGAAAAATTTGCGTTTGTCGATGATAATCAACTAATTCCCTATTTAGTGAATATAGAAATAAATATCTCATAATTCCCCTTCTCTAGCGCCTATTACATATGTAATTACTTCTCTTTTTTTCTTATCACCGTATTCTTTATACCGCTCATCTCATCTAAACCCACAACTTGCCACTCTCATTATTTGCTACTTTATATTCTTCCCGCTCACGCCTTGATTTGTCTACTTCAGTTACCTTGATTTGAATAGTCGTTAGCACAACTTACTTAGCACCTTATCTATTTAAACTTCGAGTGCGTTGTCTCAACTTGCATAGGCAAAGAGTTGAGCACAGTGTAGATACGGTAATCGCAGAAACAGGAGCGAATGATATTAAAGCAAATTAACTTGCTAACAACCAACTTAGCTGCATGCTAATGCTATAATTATGCTCCATAATGCATATACTCAGATATTTATGTGCTTACTAACGCTCAGTATTGCATGCTAGTGAGCTTTGGCGTTCATGGAAAATCATTGACGAATGAGAATTCTGATAAATGCGATTATTATCGTTCGGTTTTAATTAGAAATGAAGGAGTTTGAAATCGCTAGTTTTAACTAAAACAGCAGAAATAAACAAATAAAAAATATTTAAAAAATTTTAAATTCACCATACACATTTTCCCTTTCCACTAATTTGGTTAGTTCAGTTTTCGCGATTCTTTATTTTGCTATTTGTTTTTTTTTTTAACAACTCATGCATGTGTAAGCTGCGAGATTCATTCTAGGATAGTGAAATGTAGTACAGTTATCCTTTCGCTTTTATACGCTTCGCTGATTACTATGCAACACTGGGCTGCTGCAATACAATAGTGGTATTTTTGTTGCTGTTCGCAATTCGATACGGACACGTAGTCAGTGTGTGCCATTTTTTTCGCAGGCATTGTGTTACGGCATCATAAATAGTGAGTAAATATTATCTAAATCTAGAAAGACAAAATTTCGTACTAAACAAATTTCTCAGACATTTCATCTTTTTATTGCTGGCTTAGAGCACGCGGTCAACATGGACACTAGCAAAGAGAAAATACACCATATTTTATAGTTTTTCTTCGATAAAGGCGGCCGAAATGTGATTAGTATTTATGGTCCTGATATTGTAACAGTCAAATAATTGCAATTTTGGTTTCGTCAATACAGTTCCGGTAATTTCAATGTCAAAAATGCACCACGTTTTGGAAGACCAATTGTCGAAAATATCGATAAAATAATGGAAATCGTAGAGTCTGACCATCATATCAGCACTGTTACCCAAGTCAATTGTCTAAGAGCTAGACATTGCGTGAAAGATCGTTTGAAAGCATTTGAATAAGGATGGATACACTAACTAAAAGCGCGATAAATCAATAACACATGCTTTAGAGATATACAATTCTAGACCCGATATGGTTGGAAAAAGCTTTAAAGGAGCCGGTGTCAAATTTGTGGGATCGCTCACATTTAGGTGAAAATCTATGTAGCGGAACCTACACCACCGATTTCAACCAAATTCCAAACTAATATTACATATTATCCTGGCATTCCTACACTACAGTGTGAAAATAGGTGAAATCAGACAAAAACCATGCCTACTTCCCATGTAACACAATTTTAAATTTCATTAGATTTTTTCCTTTCCAGTATACAAATCAAGAACCAATAAATACTTGTATATCTGGATAAAACTTTACACAAATACTGACCTCAAGGTATGCTCAAAAATTGTCGAAATCGGACTATAACTTTTGAAGAACAGTCTGTGAAATATACTTGTATTATTGATATTCCTGGAAAATGCTTCTTTGATAATAATATAAATAAGAGAAGTATAATTTTATCTGACAGGAAGTAAAATGTAGTAATAAAACTAAGGGAGTCTGTGACCTTCAGAATGAGTTAATATAATACCAAATTTGATTTTAATCCATTTGCGATTTCGTCGCACAATGAACAACAACTAAAGTTATTTAGCCAGAATTGATCCTTGCAAGTTGAAAAACTATAAAATGTTCGGTTACACCCGAACTTAGGCCTTACTTACTCCTTTTGTTGTCGATTGTTTTAAAAATTGTTGGATGGTGAGAAGGTGCGCTCGTACTTATCTGCTATGATTGTCGACGTACACTTGCACCTATTGTGAAAGCATTTGATTCGTTTTTTATAAATTTTCCCATAAAGAGCTTCTATGCTTCTACTTTATGCGTATTTTTTTGTTAATTTTCTGGATAATTTTGTTTTTGGAATGCAAAGATGCAGTGGAATGCTCTATACTAGTAGAAGAAGTGATTAGGGTGTTAGATTTTTGGACCAAACATGGCATAATAGGTAAAACTCCTCTTAAGTTTTTTAGCCTAATATATCAAATATAAAAATGTTTGTCTTCCCGTTTACTTTATTGAACGTTTGAGTTAATATGATTACTATCCCAACAAAATTAAGTGAGAATGTTTCGTTGGTAATGTGAGTTGGTAACAGGAAATAAATAAATTTATGTATGTCTTCATTTAGTCCACAAAAGAAATAAACGAACTGATCCGTTCTTCCAATAGGCGTTATTGTGGATATCTCGAATAATTAGTAAGTTCTCTTCGGTGGAGATGTAACCTCATTTGGTAATAAAAATATGCTTAAAGGGCTTGCAACTTCGTCCAATAACAAATAATCTCCTTCAACACAACATTTTTGCTAACAACTCGAAATATTTCAGACTCCTGAAATTCCTACGAATTTGCTTCGATTCCACAAAAATATTAGCTCTAACAGAAGTATATTTGCGACATAAATTCCTCGAGTTTAATGCTTTTAATGGGAAAATTGTGTCTATTATGAATTGCACTGAGCTATATACATATTTACATAACTGTACGCATATTTCCCACGTGCACTCTATTTGCATAAGTTTGCCAACGAAAAAACGCATAAAAAGAAAATAAAAATAAATTAAGAAATGAAAAGCGAAATTGATTGCCAGAAAAAGAAAGATGTTGCGTAAGTTGACAGCAAGTAAATATTAAATAAGTTTTGTAATATAAATATTTATGCGTGTATATGTGTGTACAAGTGTGTGTGTGTTCAAAACTATTCTATTTGAAATTACATTCAATTTATTTTGAATTGGCGCTGTCAAAGTGAATTTTGATTTGAAGCACACCAAAGGGACGAAGCGGCGCGCACATATACATACATACACATTCGCATACATATATGTATGTATATATTCATATATACATCTATAACTACTTAGAGTGCTGAAGCATGAAAAAGCTCTCACATCCAATTCTGTGGCATAAGAAAAAAATTTTTTACCGACATTCCTGGGGCATAAGCGTTCGCTGCGCTGCATATATTTATGTCAATTCAACTGCAAGGTGTTGTGAAATATATAAAATTTTCACGAATTAAATTGCATTAAAATTGCAAATCAAATTTACCGTAATGTGTCCGCAAGACATAGAGTCGAACGCGTGCACGCACACATGCATCAACGCGTATAAATTCAGCGAATAGAGCGCAGCTGCACTGCGGGGCGCTTGCTATTTACAGAATTCGAGTAAAAATTATAAAAAAAAAACAAGAAATTATTAAAACATTAACTTCCGTTACACCGAAGCATAAATACAAAATATACCCTTCACAAATACAAAATATTTCTTACAAGAACTTGATTGTGATCGGTTAGTTTGTATGGCAGCTATAGGCTATAGTGATCCGATCTGAACAAGTTGTACGGAGATTGTACCGTTACCTTAAATAGTAATTTCTGTTCCAACAAAAGACTGTTCAAATATACAGATAGACAGACATGGCTAAATCGACTCAGCTCATCATGCTGATCATTTAGGTATATATTTTATAGACTCTCCGACGTTTTCTTCTGGAAGTTACAAACTTTGTAG